TGTTCTCTAACAAACCTCTGAGGCCTTCACAGAACAGCTGGATGTATACTGAGAGTGAATTACACACAGGTGGACTCTATTTACTAATTAGGTGATTTCTGAAGGCAGTTGGTTGCACTGGATTTTATTTAGGGATATGAAAGTAAAGCGGGCTGAATACATATGTACGCCACACTTTTCAAATTTTTATTTGTAAAAAATCTTGAACACAACGTATCATTTTCCTTCCACTTCACAATTTTGCAATACTTTCTGTTGATTTATTGCATAAAATCCCAATAAAATACATTTAAGTTTGTGGTTGTAATGTGACAAAATGTGGAAAAGTTCAAGGGATATGAATATTTTTGCAAGGCACTGTATGTGGCAGCAAAAAACTAGTATGTTTATAGACACGTCTCAGCCCAGGTTTTGCAGTGATGCTCTACCAGTGAGGAACAGGTAGCTGCTGCTTAGATGTGTTCTTTGTTTTATAGCTGGTGAACAGGAATGTTTGCCCAACAGATGATTGCAGGGATGGAGACATTTGAACTGATTTCTGAAAAATGCTCAATAAAACACCTCTCTCTGACTTCTTCCCAGGCTCTGTCAGCAACAGATCTGAACCTGGTCTTGTATGTATGCGAGACCATCGACTCTCAGCAGGTGTTTGGTCAGCACCCCTGCCCTCTCAGCCAACCCGTGCTGCTGTCTCTCATCCAGCAGCTCTCCTCAAACCTCTCAACTCACTCAGAACTTAAAATCAGGTGAGGAAACTAAGACTACATCATATGCTATTTTCAGAACATTGTATTACATTTTTTTGGGCAGCACGGTGGCGCAGTGGTTAGCACCGTTGCCTCACAGCAAGAAGGCTCCGGGTTCGGGCCTCACCCGGGACCTTTCTGTGTGGAGTTTGCATGTTCTCCCCGTGCTTGTGTGGGTTCTCTCCGGCTTCCTCCCGCAGTCCAAAGATATGCAGTTTAGGTTGATTGGTGTCTCTAAATTGCCCGTAGGAGTGCGTGCGTGCATGCGTGGTTGTTCGTCTATGTGTTAGCCCTGCGACGGTTTGGTGACCTGTCCAGGGTGTACCCCGCCTTCGCCCGATTGCCGGCCGGGATTGGCTCCGGCCCCCCTCTGTGACCCCGTTCAGGGATGAAGCAGTTGAAAATGAGTGAATGTATTACATTTTAGCAATATCCATAATAACACCATTCCCAGCTTGAAGACATGGATCTATTAAGGAATGGAATAACTGTTTCCATTTAGTAGTGTAATTTGTAGATATAAACACTGGAAGTCAAAAACAGAAAAGACAGTTATCTTTTTTCTGTGAGATGTGAACGTTCATGAACTAACATCACAAATGTCTAAAGAAATACAGTGTTCACCATAAATTAGTACACCACAACAGATTTGTCAGAAAACCTTTACTTTCCTTTCAGAATCGACATTTTCTATTGGAAACTATACTACAAAATACTCCCACAAATGCGGGCCAGTGATTGCAACCAAGATTTGTTAATGTGCACACACAAAAAAGTATTTTCCCTAACAAATTCATTCAAGACCATGTTGCAAAAATGAATACACCCCAATGAAAGTCTTAGGAGCAAAGCTAAATTTTAGACAAAAAGCTACATTTTAGACAACAAAATCCTTATGAACAAGAATTCAACTACAGGTGAGTCTAATTATTCATTAAACAGGTGTCCAGCAGATAGTTGGTTATAAAAGGGCATTATTTAACAAAGAACCCCCTACCATTTCATGCTGTCAGCAATGGCACCACATAGAAATGTCAAAGAAGGAAAATAATTTCTTTACACAAGAAAGGTGAAGGATACAAGAAGATCAGCAAAGCTTTACTTCTCAGTCAGAATACTGTAGAAAAAGTGATTCAAAAATTTAACAAAGATGGAACTGCAACCATCTCACAGGGACGTCCAGGCCGTCCATGGCCGTTAACACCTCGACAGGAGCGTCTTCTGATAAGGGATGAAGAAAGTCATGCAAGTTCACTGCAGTTGGCTAAAGTAGAAAGCCAGATAGGGGTGATCGTTTCTCATGACAATATGGCGTACACTGCAGAAGAATGCATGGGTGTCATCCATGAAGGAAGCCTCTCCTAAAGTCTATGCACAAAAAAGCCAACCTAGAATTTGCCAGGGCCCATGCTGAAAAAGAAGAAGACTACTGGGACTCTGTACTCTGGGGTGATGAGACCACGATAAATGTTTTTGGAACTGATGGCTTCAAAACTGCATTGCGTCGCAAATGTGAGGAGTACAAAGAAAAATGCATGGTGCCTACAGTGAAGCATAGTGGTGGCCGTGAGTACAACAAAGAAAAATGCATGGTGCCTACAGTGAAGCATAGTGGTGGCAGTGTCCTTCTGTGGGCCTGCATGATTGCTGCTGGTGTCAGGGAGGTGCATGTCATTGATGGTATCATGAATTCACAGATGTACTGCTCTATATTGAAAGAGAAGATGCTACCATCACTCTGTGCCTCCAGTCGTTGTGCACTTTTCCAACATGACAATAATCCAAAACACACATCTAAGTCCACTTTTGCAATTCTGAAGAACAGGGTGAAAGTGATTCAGTATGTCTCCTGATCAGAACCGAATTGAACACCTATGGGGAATTCTAAAGAGACAAGTTGAGCATCACTCTCCATCCAGCATCCAGGCTCTAAAAGAGGTCATTCTTGAAGAATGGAAAAAGATAGATGTTGCAATATGTCATAAACTTGTTCAATCCATGCCTATAAGACTTGGTGCTGTCCTTACAAATCATGGAGGTCATACAAAATACTAGATGTAGCAGTTTTGTTGTGGGGTGTATTCATTCTTGCAGCAACTAATTTGAGTAAAACTGAAGATTTTGTAATCTGTTATATTATTAAACTTATTTTTATGTAATGAGCTAAACAAATGTTCTATACACAACGCAGTTTTGTCAAAATTTTGGAAATTGTTCTTGTGTTCATTGAGAAATTGATTGAAATCTTACTTTTCAAAAGGGGTGTACTCATTTATGCTGAACACTGTAAATGTTAGTAAACATGATGCTTTTGGGAACCAAAAATACCTTGTGAAATGTGTTCAGTGTCAAACCAGCTAAACTCAGCTGCATTTGAAAACATTTGTTTTGTTTTTAGAAACATAGATCGATGAAATAGGCCCGGGTTTGATATGGTCAAATCCATCTAAGAACCTCAAGCACCCTCTCTCCTCTGCATATTGACAAATATATAGGACAGAAATATACTCTATATTTTTTATTGTGTGCACTTTCAGCATACAGTAACTTTACTAGTCTGCCTATAGGGCTTGGGCCAGTTACCAAATTATTGATAATCTGCAATATCATTGACTAAAAACGCTTCTTGGTGTCTCTTTCCAGTTACAAATAATGCAGCCACTGCTCATGCTCAAACTTGCAGGAAATCATAATTTCATTAAAAGATTGCCTCACACCACTGTAGTTTGATGTAAGGCCTGTCTTGCAATACAGCAGGCATGTTTTGGAAAAATTAATTTGGCTTTAATGAAAAACCTCTGAACTGCATAAGCGTATTTCTTCCCAAAATGTCTTAATTTGAAGTTCATTTTCTCACAAAGCAGTGAACATATTTTAATTGCATTACATGCCTTCTTTCCCACACAAGCTGCATTTTGTGCTCCCCTCAATCAGTAATAAAGCCAGCCTTTGCTTAAGCTTTTGCTTCTCATCTTATCTCCATTGTATGTCCATTATTCCTGATCTCCTGAGTGCCAAACAGTGCTAAACTGCTGACCCTATCACCAGGCTCCATCTGTAGCCCTGCTATACAGCTGTCCAGGGAGCCTGGATGATCTTGTGAATATCATCGCAGTTTTTGGATGCTCTTTGTTGTTCTGTTCTTTTTGTGTCCTTGGCCTTTTACCCAGTTTTTCACTGCTGCACTCCCATCTGTTTTTTTCCTGTTCTTGCAACAGTTTGTTGTGGCATTATTCTCAAGATGTGTGAATGTTGCTCCTCGGTGAGCCCCTGCTCCGCTGGCTTTGTGTGGTTTTCTCTTTTGATTCCTTGTATTCCATCTTCTCTCATTCTTCCCTATCAGAATCCCTTTACAGCAGCATGTCTAGATCACCTGCCTGGTGCTGCTGCTGCTGCTGATACAGCCCTGGTGCTGCTCTGTGCCATCTGGAGAGAGAGATGAGGGCAGCAGGGTGTGGTTCAATCTGAAACATTATTAGGAAAGATGCAGCTGGATGGTTTGTGGTGTAGACAGAATCCAAGCAGGATACATCATAAAAATGATCATCTTGTATCAGGTTAATACAAGAACCACATGTACTGTACATGGCAGAGATGGGTGTATTCTCAAGTATCTAGTGCATTCACATCAAATGACTGATAACACAGGGCTGTAAGACTGCATATCTGAAACTTAAAGCACTTTTTGAGGCTTTGCACTACATAAAGGAGGCATCTTCTCTGCACTTGTGATGGATAATCTTAGAGGAACCCATGAAATATTCCCAATGAGAAACAAGGGCACTGCTCGGATTGTTATGACTTGAGAAGGATTATCCACAAGAAGGTCTTATCCACAAAATTGTGGTCTTGGCAGGATCATTAGCAGTTCACTCTTGAGTAATGTGAATTTAGGAAGAATGAACAGCGGTGTTTTTAGTGTTTGAGAAGGTTGGACACAGTTTAGTTGGAGGCAGATTGTCTCCTGCAGCGTATTAGTGGTAGAAGGTGATTCAGTATCTGGTGTTACATGCAGTGACATTAAATGTCTCTTTAAAAAGAGTGTTGGGAGGGTTATAGTGATTTGATAGACCTGTGATGTGCACTGTGGGGAGCTCTGGCTGGAGGCCAGCTGGCAGTGGGCGAGTGACTAATGTTTGACTGGCATCCGGTAGTGCTCTGGACACAGAAATGAATGGACATTGAAACTGTAAAGACACACTGGGTGAAAGAGCAGAAGAGAAATTGGGCACTGCTGAACAGTCTCACCTCCTGATGTCTGAATAAAGCAATTAATTGAGCAGGTAAATGCTGTGTAGCCTGAGTGAGAGGACAGGACACAGGTGAGGATGAGTGAAAACACAAGGTTCATTTTCACACACTGGCAGCCACCACTGCGATGAAGGATGATGCTGCACATCCACACTGCAAAACATTGCGGAGAAACTGATCAATGTAGATGTGACATTAACATTCCTTTCAGTCAGATATTTTTTATGTTGCTATCATCACAAGGAATAAGTCGGTCAGTTCCAGGAACGTGTGCAATCGACCATAAGTCATCTTTAAATGTTCACTGCAGACATCTCATTGTTTTAATGTTATCTGACAATTTAGCCTCCTCTCAAACTGAAGCAGTGTCAATAAATTTTTTTTTGCAAACCTCAGGATAGATGGGAGCAAGTGTAACCATGGTAATTGCTTACAACAAAGATGAAGACATACTGTAAATATTAACAAAATGCGAGTCAAAAATGATGAAAAATAGTCAAATGTATTTAGATGTATTGACAAACTAATAAAAAGCAAAAGACTAATTTGACAAAATATTTAACACTAATATTAATGCTAAATCAAATTTGAGTGTCAAAATTAACAATGGCCTGTCTGCCTCATGGCTAAAGATTGTAGTTGGAGGTGACAGTACAGCAGTTGTCTCCCAACCGGAAGGTTGAAGGTTCGAATCTCGGTGCCTGCAGCCCCCCCCCCCATTGCCCCTGATGGTTAGAGCCATCGGTTGAGTTGGCACCGCAGATGGCTGCCTCGGTTCTGTACTGGAAACAAATTCCTTGTGTGTAACATACTTGGCCAATAAAGGTGATTATCCTTATCTTTAGTTCTTTTAATTACTTTCTTGCTTATACCTGTAGCTGATTATTTCTGCCTGACTGGAAACTTTCTTTACTTGTAGTCATCATTGTTATCACGGTTTATGTCCCTGCAACCCTTGCAGCTACCTGGAGGATGCAGTGATGAATCTGGATCATGGTGACCCCCTGACAAGAGACCACATGTCATCTATGTTGGCGCAGTTCAGACAGAAGCTCCTTGGCTTCCTGCAGCAGGACCCCCACAGTCCAGTCAGCAAGAGGGCGCGGCGTCTGATGATGATGCTGCAGGGTCTTGTCAACCATAAGTCCATCATTTAAAGTATGGTGCAGCACCGTCATTTCCTATTACATACAGATGAGTCAATTTTTGTTGAGTCCACAGAAAGCAACAAAGTCAGCTTCATCCCCACCTGAAACAGTTTCTTAGAACTTGGGGGTGATACATGTTGGTTGGAAATGGAAGACGAGAACTCCTAAAGAAGGTGCTCCCCTTCGGTCCCTCTGTCCCTCCACACAGCCCTGAGTCCATCTTTTTGTTCTGCATCCTTCATCTCCTTTAATTATGCCAGTGAAGAGTCGAATTAGGAAATCGAAAGTTTTTGTTACTCCAGTTTCCTTCGGTACAAAACAATGGTCTGGACAGAAATATTGTTGTTGATTTCTTTTAAAGAGTCTAAGTTCACTGCAGATTCTTGCAGACATTTGTTCCTGCTGCTTTTTCTCCAGACATTCTGGTTTCTCACCCCTGTATCCCCATCAAGAAGCGAAAGACTGCCTCAAACAACAGCCAGAGCCTGCCCATCTGCCAGACACACAATAACTGGCACTGCTTGGATGTGGCATTATTCAAATACGCTCAAGGCTCCAAGAAGGTTAATGGAAATGGTCCACAGGACCATATGTCGCTGTTCTGCTGTGTTCTCTGATCCGTCAGTCAGACATGTTGAGCTTTGGTATACTGGACAAGTTGTGATGCAGCAAAAGGAACAAAACTATGTGTTGTACCTTGGCCTTAAGAGCAAACAGCAGGCCTGGAACCCCCGGCCCAGTACAGACCAGCGTCCTTGCTGGAGCTAACTGGGAATTCATTATGCACAGGTTTTCAGTTGAGGTTTTTTAAAATATCCATGCTCATCTCAGCAACTAAAAGTATGCAAAAATCCAAAGCCAGATTATGTTGGTGGCATATTTCCTTTCAGTTATTTTTGAATAGGTTGAAGACAACCTTGCCAGGTCAAAAGATTTTCAGTGAGGATCAGCGCGTTGAGTTGTTTTACTGAAAGCTAATAAAAAGAGTTCCGGCATTTGGAAGTATTCAGGATGAAAAGCATATCTCATTACAGTTTTTTCACCTGGCCTTATTTTCACAAATCTTTCTAATGAGGGTTTCTGAGGAATACAAGTATGATTAAAGGATGTGAAATAAATGAAAAGATTTTTGAAATCTAATAACTATTTGCAAAGGTTTTGTAGGCTGAAAAGAATTCCTCTTTATGGTCTGACACGCTTGGAGCCGAGGCTGACAGCCGTCCTTGTGTACAACTCTGTCCTGTGAAGTGACCGGACAGTTCCCTGTGTTTGCTTGTCTGTTCCTTTTTTATATCAGTAGTTAGTACTTGTATACTTGCTTTAAGAGTTGTCAAACTAGTTAAAACAATAAACATACTCCCTTAATATAATTGTTGCTGCGGATGTTATTTTATCATGATGCTCCAAATAAGGTTTGTAAACCCATGCAGTTACTTGTCA